CTTGAAATTAAACATGGCTGTAGCAATTTAAATATAATACCCATATGCTTAGTTCACCCAAAATTGATGCATGTTACATGTTTTTGAAACTGCTGTAAGTTTTAGCACAGGTACTCCATAAACACCCTTTTGAGCAGCACTTTGCAACTACTTATGTAGTACAAACTATGCATGATATTAGTCCAAAGGCTTGTGATTTACCACATAGTTCATAGGGCTGCGCCAGAATCAGCGGCATTTCAAGTCATGGTGATCCTACAGGTCAGCACTGTTCAGTATATGTGTATACGCCAGATACTCTCCCACCCCCCACGTAGTAATTGGCTCCTGTTTATGACTGGAACCAGGTGTTCTTGTCAAGTCCTGGAACCAGGTGTTTGGGTGATGTTTGCCAAGCATTTAAGGCTGGTGAAGAAACAAGAATAATTGTATATGAGAAAGAAAGGCGCAGCTCAGATGTGGAAGCAAAGAGGAAGTCGAGATGTATTCAGTGTTGTGGCTCACCCTGACTTGGAAAAAGAGTTGGCGGTGATGGGGACTGCCCTTAATTGGCACTACTGTATGTTTTATTCAGATGGGCTAGTGTAGTGGTTCATATGCATTGAATCAAAATGAGCTGCTCTTGCTACAGTAACCAAGGACAAACAGGAGTTGAGGGAATGTGACTTCCCTAAGCCAGCAAGAGAAGAGATGCTCTTCTCAGCCTCTCTCTTGCTAGCGGGACAGTGGCAGCTGCTCCATCATCAGCCTTACCTTTATGTCCACAGCTCTTTGCCTGAAAACAAGATGACAGCATGTTCAGAGACTGCTGGTAGCAAACCACTGCTAAGTTCCTCCAAACGTGTGGCAGTGCTTAGAGACTTGGAACTCATTCAGAGCTGGAGGCATTTTCATTTTCTCTGAACACTAGGCCCACTCCCTGCTTCAAGCTCTGTAATTTCTAGGGCTTTTCTAAGAAGCCCAGGAGAAAGTCACTTGGCAAATTTCTTCTAAGAAGTTATTTCCCACCCCCTTCACAAGTGTAGGCAAAATCCTTCCCACCCAAGGCAGAGAACAGGTCTAAGCATCCAAGTTTTGACAAATTTTATAAGCGACTGAAAACCAGGACTTGCTATGGGAAATATCAGCAGCTAGGCAAGTGTTTAGTGTTCAGGGTAACAAGCAACTCTAATGATTGTAAAGGAGCCACCATTGGGATGGGGTGCAGGAGCAATCCAGCAACGCACAGCCTGGTGGCCTGCAGCTTAGGGTGGGGAGTGGAGAATCCCAGCACCAACTGACATGGGAGGGAGGAGTTAAAGACAGAATTCACTTCCTAGGCTGCAATTTAGCCAGGGCACCAGGGCTGACAAGAAACTTGTCCTGGTCTGTGCAGTGGAGATCAAATTGGTATTTATCTCTGTTCCAAATGGGAACTGACAGTTTCAGGATGATCAATATTTACTAAAAGCTGCTCACTGAAGAGAAAAATAGCATGTCACCCTTTTAGCAGGGCATGCAACAGTAGTCTGTGTGTGTGCGTGCATATGTACCCACGAGCACATGCACACTCCCTCTCAGTCTGTGGTAAAGACTTAGAGATGTTAACATTGATAACTTATCTTTCTGACAATGCTCTTTTTCAACTGGGTTTATTCTGTGAGGGACTAATGCAAACAGAACTGAATATAAATAGCATGTTGTCAAAAGTATAATATGGGTTAAAAAGCTGCTCCTCCCTCCCTTTCCCCCTCCTTGGTTTTCAGTTAGTGTAGTTGGATGATACCTACAACTGGAGCAGGTTAAAAAGTGAGAGCGCTAAGTGTGTGCTTGCATGCACACATGTACATGAGATGGAGAGTACTATCTTTGTTTTGGTTTTGTTTTCAAAGTGAATGGGGCCCTAAAATAAAATTGGGTAAGGTGTGGCAGAGAAGTATTGTCCCTGTAGAGATAATGCCAAAGGAAGCTGAGGGATGGATCCAGTGTTGTGGGCTGACATGGCTGTCTTTCCTTTGCAGATCTCTTTCTTGGGTGGGCTGGCTCTCAATGAAGGAGTGAATTGGTTAATAAAGAACATTATCCAGGAACCACGGCCCTGTGAAGGTACAGTACAGCCTAATGGCATGGGGGAAAAGACTGGGTGTGTAGGGGATGAGTTAATCTTGAAATCTGGAGACAACACTGGGGTGAAGGGTGAGTGTTGCCCTGGGTCTTGGATAGTGTTTGCACATTCGGGGTCTAGGGGCATGTGAATAGTAGCTCTGGCAGTGCCAAATGAATGAGGAAATGCTTATAAATTCATACACACAGCCCAGCAGAGCGGCCTTGCTGGATCGTTGCAGAGTTCCAGCTGCTGCTGCATATGGAATAGTCATTGATTGTGCTGTTTGTTCTTCTCTTCCCAGAAGCCCATTCAACAGTGACCACAAAATATGGGATGCCATCCAGCCACTCCCAGTTCATGTGGTTTTTCTCTGTCTACTCGTTCCTGTTCCTTTATTTAAGGTGAAGCACCTGATAATGCTTTGGCCTCTGGGACGTTTCGAATGGGTGGCTTCTTAGCTGCATGCCTTTTTCCTTCTCTTCGTCGGTTGATTCCTATAGGTAGAGCTGAATTCCAGGACCTGTGCAACCTGTTGTGGGGTGGGATTCCTTCTGGAATGTGGAGTCGACTGCCTTCCAAAGTGCATATAGGACTGTGGCCCCTGTTGCTTTTTTTAGCTAAGAATATGAATTGAGGGGGATAGGAGGAGTGATGTAGCTTGAGGACAGTCCTGCCAGTATCATGAATCCTTCGGAATATGATGTTCTTGGCTCGATCTCTCAAGATTTGTGCCAAAGATCAAAGCTGCCTGAATCCATGCAGGAAAATCATGGGTGCAGGGGGAGGAGAAGAGAAAAGGGAGTGGAGCTTTCCTTGGGCATTTGGTGTCCTTGGCATTTGTGAGTTGGTTTCTGCAGCCTCAGCAGTACTTCTTGCTCTTTTTGCATGTCTTGTGGTGTAGCTCTACTGCTTGGAACTAGACTTGAATGTTTTTGGAGGGGGCAGGGGATCTGCATACCAGAAATGGCTGCATATTGTGTTTTTGTGATGTGACAGAGCAGGAGAGACTAGGGATCCCCCTAGTTCTATGGAAAACTGTAATGGACTCTCAGGGTCCCAGTGATGCCAGGGCATGCTCGCTTCCTGTATAGTGATATGTTAAAACCAGCTGACTGGAATTGGGCTTTCTCGCTTGTATCTACTCGGTAACAGGTAAATAGATATCTGTGGCAGCTGTGGCTTCCCCAGAGTCACTGGAATTTGGTGGGGTAAGATTTGGGGGCCGTTCCTCTTCCTAGCACCATCTTTTTTTTCCATCCTGCTAATGACTCTTCCCTCTTTCCTTTCCCAGAATGCACCAAACAAACAATGCCAGGTTTCTGGATTTATTGTGGCGACATGTCCTGTCCATCTTGCTGGTGACAGTGGCCTTTCTAGTCTCTTACAGTAGGTACGGAGCAGCTGTTTTTCTTACTCTTTTTGTACTAACCTTTTGCTTTGAGTCTTTAACACTTTAACTTTCTGTAGTTGGTATTTTTTTTAAATTCCTGATGACCATAGCAAAACTGCCAGAGCTTTAGGGGAGTCACCATGTTCCATGGCCTTTTGTACTTCACACTTTGTCTATCCCATCCCCTTTTCTGCATCAATGAGTAAAAGCATTGAGGCAAACCATAGGCCAATTGCTACTGTAGCATCTGAAGCGTTTGCTATTGAGTTAAGTGATCTGTGTCTTATTTTAGAGACAGTTTAGATGGATTTAGAACTGTTTGGCTTCTGTCATGTTTTCATTTGGACACCATAATTGTAATATGAAAACTAAACTCTAATAAAGGGACCTTCAGTTCAGCAGAGAAAGGGTTAGTAAGTTCCAGTAGCTGGAAGCTGAATTCGGGTAAAACTCAGATGTGAAACCAGATACCAGTTTTTACAGATGAGTAGGAACAGTAGGAGGAGTGCCTTTGCTAATCTGAATGGTCACTATGGGACACATCAGAGAAGAACCTGCTTTTAGGGTATTTCCCATATTTAGGAGTACTCTGAATACAATGTTCAGTACATCAGAGGATCTATACTTGCTGACAAAAAATCTGCCTGTTTCAATTGGGTGTTGGCTGTATTTTAATAGGTGTCTCTGAGCTGTTTCACATCTTGGAGGGAATCCCTTTCTGAACTTCACTGGTGTCTGTAAGACCCATTTTCTCCTGTCCAATGTCATTACCTTGTTTTTTCTAGTGACTTCCCTTTTTCTTTCTGCTGAAGGGTTCATCTGCTCTACCACACCTGGAGCCAGGTTGTATACGGAGGTGTTGCAGGCAGCATCATGGCTGTAGTCTGGTTTGTCTTCACACAGGAGATTTTAACTCCCCTGTTTCCAAGGATAGCTGCATGGTAAACCTTTGGATGCTGCTTTGATCATGTTGTAATCCTATAAGACTACCCTTCCCTTGTCTAGGGGCTGCACATCTGGGTTTCCTCTAAATGGGTCACAGCAGTGTTTAACTCCTTTGAAATGTAAAAATAAATCTTATTCAGCTGGCGCATGGCTAGAGAATCCGTACTGTACAACTGAAGCAAAACCAGTCCTGGGTTACTTCAGTCTGTAAAAGCAGATGGTTGTCACGATGTTTGGTAGAGAGAAGCCCTGAGGTTGGTGGGCAAACCCAAACCCTAGACCAATAGCAACTTGTGGAAGGACTGGGAACAGAGACTCCTTAACTCTAGTTCCAACTCTACCTTTTGACATCCTGTGTGATCATTGGCTTATTTATGCCTCCATTTTCCCATCTATAAAATGGGGTAAATATTTTCCTATCTCATAGGAGAGGAGAAGAAACATCACAGACCTCCCTTCTTCTATAAAGCACTTCTACATCCTTGGAAGAAATGTGTATTGGAAGGGAGCACAGTGTTGCAAGATGGCAGCCTCGGGAACTGCCAGCTCCACCTCTTGCCACCCATTTCCCCAGATCTTCTGTAATGGGAAGGCTGGTTCAATTGAATTGCGTCTCAGCCCACACCAAATGTAATCCTCAGGATTTGGGTGGGGTTTTTTTTGTTTTTTGTTTTTTGTTTTTTTTTACTAGTTCCTGTGAGGAAAAACCACTACTTCCTGCTAACATTAGTATGTTGCTTTGTGTGCCTATATGTGTTTGTAGTGCCAGAAATACTAGTGATATTGGCTTTTCAAGGTGGATCCTAATCAGGAAGATTTTTCTAAATCTCTCCCTCTCCTCCTCTTTCCTCCCAACCTTTGTTAATTTTAGGCCAATTTCAGAGTTCCTTTTAATCAGAGATACTAGTCTCATTCCCAACATCCTGTGGTTTGAATACACTGTCACCAGAGCAGAGGCAAGGTAAGCAGAATAATGGAGGCTCTGCATATGGGGAAAAAGTACATCTGAGAGATTACATTCACTGACAATTGATTTGCATGTCAACTTGTACTTTAATTTTAAATACAAAGTAACTGATGTGGGTAGCTGTCTATGGCTAGAATAGTACAGAGGGTGAAGATTTACTGGGGTGGATTAAAATGCTAGTTAAAACGGTAAAAACTGATAAATGCTAATTCCAAGTGCAAAGCTGTTGGGGTCTGCCTAGTCAGAGGGAGATCTTTGAAACAATGTACGCAGTGTAGCCAGAGGAGCTTTGTGTGGGAAAGTGACTCTGTTTTGGGGTGCACGAGTGAATTTGCTGTACAAAATGCCAGTGTTATGTCTGCCTGCAAAAGTGCATGACAAGCCACAAGTGCAGCATTGCCTACATAGTGGACATGTAGGCTCCATGGCTATTTCCTGCCAGGGCCTGTAAAGAGCAGGTATGACCATCCATGCCACCACAAAGTGGCTGTGTGACCTGTCTCTTTCCATTGGAAGCTGTGCAGAGTGCATTTGACCTATCCTAATACTCTTATGGGGCTGGCTACAACATAGAGCGGAGTGGTTGGGAGTGAATCTACCTTATTCTGCTACTCTTGTGTTCTCGTTGCAGAAACAGACAGCGCAAGCTGGGTACAAAACTTCAGTGACTCAAGGCATGGGAACTAGAATGCATGATTTAATGGAGAAGGACAAGACTAGAGACCTGTACAGACCTGGGAGCAGCAAGGAGCTTTTTAACAGACGGACCAAAGGAACAGGCAGGGACCACACCCAGAGCTTGGAGGCTTTTGCTCTGGCTTTTTGCAGCTAGCTGGATGCTCCCTGATGCATGTGGGACCGTGCAGGAGCAGAACTTCATTTATACCACAAATGCGCATTGCCAGTTGGAATGTACTATCATGTCTAAGTTGGGGGAGGGGGGAACAGTACCTGGTATCTCATTTGGGGGAGGGGAAGAAAATAGTGACTTTCTTTTCCCAGCATGAAATATACACACTATTTATTTATTATTATTTTTTTTTCAGAAATGGAACTGTTATTTTGGGGATGGGTGAGGTGTTGATTGTGTGTGTTGGGAGAAGACAAAACTAATCTTAGTTGATCATGCTTAATTTAGGTTTTCTAATTTTTTGGGAGGGACAGAGAGGGAAGGTTTGTTTCCTTTCTGCAACAGTTTGGGAGATCTGAAATCAATTCCAGCTGCACTTTGTAAGGATCTAAAGAAGGAACTAAAGACTTGCTTTTAACACTAGTGACATTTCTGTGTGCAAGCCTACATGGATGTCATTAAGGGGGTGTGTGTGTGTGTGTGTGTGTGTGTGTGTAAACACAGAGGAAAAACTAAAATATACTAATTTTTTTTTCCATTGCTGTTCCTGTTGTGTAATTAGTAAGACTGGTCATTTGGGTCCGTACATTTAAGTGCCAGCCACATATATTATATTAATTCTTCCTTTATACTTTTGGTATAACCTGTACAACCTCTGCTGCTGAACTTAAATCAAACTTACTGATCATTTAAAATTTAAATAGCAGTGGCATTAACTGGTAGTTAAGATACCACTTGTGGTATGTGAGTAAGGATTAGGCCCAAGTCATTGTAAAAGTTTATGTATGAATAAGATGACTTCTAATGGTTAGTTTATGCCCTGTAAGCCTGATGGGAAGACCCATTTACTAGTGAAATATTGAAAAAAAAAAAAACCCCAAAAAAACCAAACCCCCAAAATTGACGCTACTAAGTACTTATGACTGGCTTGGGTACTGGGGAAATTGCTGTTGAAGAGCCCAGTAAGATTGATGTGCAGGGTGTTGCTGTTCTTCCGTGCTGGAAGCAGCAAACCTTTCTCACATGGGTTTGGTTTTGATTCTGCAATAACAGCTTAGAATACAGAGCTCCTGCCAACTGTATTTTGCCCAAGCTTGTAAAAGCACTTATTGGAATGACTATCCTCTTCTGGAGTTCTAGACACAGTAAGTTCTGCTGCAAGCTGTCTGGGTACCGTTCCCTTTGCATGCAGTGTTCAGCACACTCACACTGCAGGCACGTGCATCCCCTGCAGTGTGCTGGTAAATATTTTTGAGGGGAATCACCCCATCCTTGACTCAGCAGTGCTCCCTGAATGTACTTCATAGCTGTGCAAAGGCCATTCTATTCCACTTGGCCTATAATCAAGCAATTCCTATGAAGTCCCATAATTTTTTTTTTTTTTTAAATTAGGCTATGCAAGGTTATGGTTGGCTTGAAGCCTTCCTAAGGTTTAACCCAGCTGTTCATCTGCATTAAACAAAAGGCTGTTGGCATCCATATGATAGTCATGTTTGGTAGCTGTGTGCATAAGTCTTTCTGCATGCTTGCTAGGCTTCCATTAAAAAGCAACTCTTGCTTCATATAAAAGTCTGGTATGTTTGATGCACTTTTTGCTCATATCTGATCATCTTTGTATTTCTCGACCACCTTAATTTAAACACAGCATTTCTAAGATTTCATCTGTACCTGTTGCTATGATCCTGTGTGCCCCTGGTGAAAGTTGACTGCTGTAGAAACTGTCCTGCCTAAATCAGAGGGTTAACCCCAGGAAGAGGTGAGCCTTTTAAACCTGATGCAGAAATTAAGAATGACAACCATTTTTAAAAACTTTTAAAAAGTAAACATTTAAATATATTTAAAGACTGTAGCAGCTCATTAAGATTGCTCTAATCCTTAATTAAAAAATTTGCTCTTGGGATAAACATCTCAAACCAATTTCATAGTCATTGCAGTGGTCTAGTGCAAACTCCCACTAGAAAAGCTCTGTCACTTGCTTGGAAAAACCATTAGTTTTATACTTAGGATCTTGGCATGAGCTGTATATAAGGTCTGATTCAATGCATGTGGAAGTCAGCAGGAGTCTTCCCACTTCTTTCAATGGGATTAGGCTCATAACTATTCCATCTAAAAAGCCAAGTGAGTAGATAAAGTGCAGGAAAAGAATGCGCTGGTAGTTCAATAAGCCAGGTAATAGGACAGCATAGCTACTTGAGTGGGGCACCATGCTGGGAAATTAAGAACAGTTGGCTGTGTCTTGGCTCCATGCTCCTCAGGGAACTGTTTATAAGTAAAATTTTCAGTTCCCCTCCATTTCCCTCTGCTAAATCAAGTAAGTCTAAAAGGGGCAGTTTAGTCCTTCCCAAGGATGAAGCAGTAAAAAAGTAAATAGAGGTAACTAATTCTCCCCTGATCTCTCCAGTCCAGGTCTCGAATGTGACAGTCTCTGTGGAACTGTTAAACAAGTAGTACATCTCAACCTGTTTAACGGAATCCCTTGGAGTAGATGGAGGCCCTTCTTCACTCTAGCATAGCTGCTGTCATATCTACCCAGTCCTTCAGAATGTTTACTATAGTTCGAGGAGGCAGAATTTCCATCATGTCATCATGGCTATATGTTGTACGGTGTTGGAGAAGAGAAAGTAATGGCTAAAATCAGACATCCAGTCTTGAAGGGAGAAGGCTACCTACAGTGCCCTGAATGATAGAAACCATTTCCTCTAGAACCACCCATAACTTTCCAATGAGATGATCTCTGCCTTCTCTCCCTCATTCAGAGACTAGTGTAGAGATACTAAAGCAGTAAAAGAAAATATGGTATGTATGGTCCATTCTTCTTGTCCCAGGATGAACATCTTTCTATAAAGACACAGTTGTCATTTAACTTACTCCTTCAGCAATTTCAGCAAAGACTTAAGGCTTCTGGGAAGCATGTTGACTTTTATTTATGATTAAATTGACTGGAAGAACATTTCCATCTCTACAAGACACTGATTACAATATCAAAAATAACATTTAATACAATTAACTATCAGAGCATGCAAACAGTCCTGACTGCTATCAACTGCACAGACAGTCCCAGAGTTAATTGTACATTATAAATCTACAGATCTCTATTCAGTAAATCAATAGTTTTATTCAGAACTTTTAAACAGATTTTTCAAGGCTAGCTCCTAAATACTCTGACCACAAGCTTCTTTTGGTTAAAGGAGCAGAGTATAAAGAGTAAATGACTCTGCACTCATTAACCAATCCTTGTGGGGAGAGAAGGGCAGAGTCAAGAAGTGATGAGTTGGAGGAACATCACAGCTTGACACTGACACCAACAAAATGCCATAATACTTTTTAAAATGATAAAAATTCCTGTAAACAGTTTTAAAAAATAAAAAACCAGTTCCTTTCTTCATCCTAACTTCTACAACTAACAGAGAATGCACAGGATAGATAAGTATCATGCTTTCCTCAGTCCATGATCACTGATGTGTAAAGACCTCAGTACCACAGCTGAAGAACACCCCTGAAGCTAATGCAATACTTAGATTTACATCTCGGATCAGAATCCGATTAATTCATATTTATGTTTGTGGCAAAATGCACTTCCAGCTCATCCTTTTCAGTAGGCATTTGTCTTTTAAGAGAGTTGCCTTTTCAGAAGGCAAAAATAGTTACTGAAAATAGCCTTATTATAATAACATACTAGTGCGAAGTAATGTAGCACAGTACATCCTCTGTTATCCCAACTCCTTTGGAAAGCACCTACCAAACAGCTGTTCAGATAACACATCATTTGGATTCATGAAACCGCAGCATCTTGTGAGGAATTATATATGCTAACACAGGATGCATAATGTAAAACAATACCAAGCTTATCCATATACATACTAAGTACAGGAAAGCTTGAGAAGTATGTTATACAATACCAACAGTAACAAGTTGATGTATTAAATGTAGGAGTAGAGATACAGTATTTAATTAAGTAAATCCTGAAAGGGGAATAGTTTGTATAACAAATACCAACAGTTACAAGTTCAAAACCAGAGTTGCTACTTGGATAACTGATGATGTACTGTCAGTGGTGAAAGGTCCTTTGACGCATCCTAAGGAGGGGTTACCTTATTTACCACCAGAATCTATATCGACTTGATGCAGATGGAGGGGTGTGGGAATTTTATTTTGGCTCTTACTAAAGGAATCTCTTCCACAGTGAAAGCTTCCATAAAAAGCAGCTTTTATCTCAGCAAGTCTGTACCTATTCCACTTCATTCCAGAAAGGTGCAGTCTCTTTATGTAAATATTCATTACATAATAAATGTTCTTATCAATGCATTAAGATTTTGGTCATCCTCTTCTAGCTTTTGATCTGTTCCACTGGGGAGTGGTGGTGGGGAAATCAGTTACTAGACCAAGTGTTTTTGTACTCACTGCTTTGCATTACATGCTCCCACTGCTTTCTGACCATCTTATTCCATTTAGTGCTTGTGGTGTGCATGTGTGTGTCTTTTAATTTTAATGAAGCCAATATGGGATGTCATGAGTGGATGTTTGTACAATCATTAGCTGTACAGGTGAGTTCCAGTAAAACTTTCCCTCAGGGATGAAGTAGTATTTTTAAAAAAAAAAAATCATTTCTGAAGTAAGAGGAGGTTTCTATCTGAGACATGGGATAGGCTGACTTGACGCTCATAAGCGTTGTACAACAGTAGCAGAGCAGACAGGTGCAACACAAGATTCTTCCCCCACATCCACAAAGAAAATATGATTATGATCTTTGCTTAAGGGACCAGGAAGTAAAGAAGCAGCAGTAATCCTAGTCCTGTGTACAAGTATCATATGACAAGACTGAGCTCACCATATTCTCATGCTGTTACTGTTGCCTGATGGTAATTCAGTACCCTCACCTTGAGACTACTGCTTTCTCCCTATTGAAAGAATAATGCCTAAACTCTTCATTGTGATGGAAAAAGTCTCCAAGTACTGCTATTTGAAAGGATATAAAAATTTAGGTCACATCTGTAGGAGGCATTGGTAGAGCGCCACTTGAATTGCACCTTCAGGTATGTACAAATCCCTTGCTTTCTCAAGGTTCAGTTGATCTAGTAACGCAGGAGCCCCAGGTTCCACAGAAGAGGTGTTGTAGTGTTCCTATGGAAAGTGAACTGCTCTAGGTAATATCTAGATCTTAAATTTGAGTTTTGTGGTTTCTTCCCTTCCTCCCCCCGCACCTTTAGAGCCCCAGCTTTGGGGCAGATGATATAGGGACTGAGAAGCAGCATAACTTGTAGCCCTCAGCTTTGGGCTGTGCAAGCTGGACCCTAGAGGCTTTTTCTAAGTGGGCCGGTGTGATTAAAAATGTACTGTACACCATAAAACCTGGGTTGCCTCCTAAGCATGAGGTGTAGCACCACCTTTGGCTACAATAAATGCCAGAGGTGCAAACTGTGCTTACCCTTTGTTATTTACAGCTAGATGGTCAACTTTCTTCCATATTTTTACTTTGTCAAACAGGTGGGTGGAGACTTTGTGCCTCAGAGGCCATACTATCCCTCTAATTAAAGTGCATAAAGCTAAGGCCAGTGGATCTTGGATTAATAAATTCATGAAGGTGCATCAGTTCAGTAGAAGTGGTACAAAGAGGCTCAAATTTAAGTCTTGGACTTGGTGATTGAGGCTCTTTAGCTGTCAGTCACTTTATGCTTAAAAAGCATAAAGGAAATGGGGCTGATTAGTGATAAATGTTTTACAGTTAATACAGGAAAGGACAGATCCAGAGGTTGGGAAGGTAGGGACAAGAGCATATGTAGGGTGTGGGGAAAAAAAACATAAGCAGGGACCCTGGATACTTAGCACAACACATACTAGGAGGACTGGACTTACACTGCATTACAACACTTATCCCTGTACCCCAAAATTTAACAACACTAATGACCCCACCCAGGGAGTCACAAAATAGTTGGGCTTAAGCCCCAAAAGGGATGCTCACAGCCCCATCCAAAGCTTAAGCCAGCAAAAAGATTGAGGTGGAGTCAGATTAGTTTGAGGAGGATTATTCCTGCTTTCTCAGAAGAGCCACCACACTCCTTACTGAATGGGTCAGTCGAAGGATGTGCCGTGTTCTTTCCACAGTGAATTCTGTACAAAATTAACAATGTTCCTGTCCCCTTCAAAGAAAGGAAGGTATGCTTTGCATACAACGGGAGTGGCTTTTTCAGTGCTAGTTGGATTAAGGCAATGCTTCCTTTCACCCTACAGTCAAGTAGCTGGACATTGCTATTCCATAGCTTCTGGTGGCTGGTGCCTTCCCAAGTCCCTGGTGGAACATAAAACTGCTTGCCCTGTGTTTGAGGAGCTGGGAGCTTCATAGATTCATAGATGTTAGGGGCAGACTGCTAGGGTTAGATGACCCTTCTAGGGCAGCTCCTAGAGTTTTGGAGGTTTGAAGCAATGCCTCTATTACAGTTTTGATTTGGGGGTGGACTGAAGCAGAAGCCTCATATCAAGCAGAGCTGTCTCCAGGTAATGTGCCAGGTGGGCTGCATTGGTTTCAGCACAGCTGTTGAATGCTGAAATTGCAAAGTTGATATGCTCTTCCATAGGGTTGTAACAGACTCCATAGCCATCTGGGACCACTGGACCAAAGCACATTACGCAATCTGTCTTTGCTGGGACCTAGAGTTGGAGGCAATGTGGTTAAAGATCTCTACACCCATGCAAAAAAGATGACAGGCAGGAAATCGCAAGGAAGGGGTAAAACCAGACTATTCCCAACCAAGGTTCCATGTAAATGCTTCAGGGGAAAGATGTTGCTGTCACCCCTGCCTGTTCAACTTTTAGTACTCACTGTTGTTCATACCATTTGGTAACAATATCTTATGTCTGCTTGCAAAGAAATGTAGTTACCCACTGCTACTTGGGAGCAGTTTTTAAGGGCAATAGTGAAGAAATGGAGGAACAAAAACTATAAGGAATACAACACCCCCATGATACTTGGCTATGTCTTACCTGGCTGGTTGAGAGGTTGAAGTGCATAGCAACAGCATAGGCTGTATCCATGAACAGTTCAGGCATGCTGACTAGATCCTCAATGGCTTGGAGCTTCAGACCTAGCAGGTGGCGGTCTATTGCATTCCCTGTTAGTGCCTGAAAGGAAGAAAGTCTGAAGAGGCCTTGGGAGCGAGAAAACCAAGACTGGCACCATCTTTGGTCTAAAACCAAATTTAAAAAAAGTTTTAAACTTAAAAGAGAGAAATTGCATCCAGCTCTGAAGAGCAATGCTTGGTCTGGTTCAGAAAAGGAGCAGGAACAGATGCAAATAGGATCAAACCCTGTAACTTCCCAACTTGGGCTCCCTGTAGTTTCTCCCTCAAGCGGCTCTGGCATCTGCAGTCTATGGTGACAGGGAAAACTGAACTTCCTCAGACATCTGATTTTACCTTTCCCTTAGTCACTAAGAATACAGAGGAGGGCAGCTGGGAAGGAGCACAGTCCCAAGGCATAAGCCAGTCAGAATTCCTGCTAGATCAGTATTAACAAGCAGACTCATATCTGGTGCTGTGTGTGCTGTTGGGTACTCTTTTTTTTTTTCCACCAGCACCTACATTACCTCTGCAACATCCCAGTGCTAAAGATGTAGAGTAGGCTTACCATGTCAGTGTATTGCCTGTGGGCTTGCATAGCTCTCCTCAGCAGATCCACCTTCTCCTCGTTCTGAGGAAAGTGCACAGAATGGAAATGAGGTTTTTCTTCTCACAGCAGGTGATGAGATTTTCAGCAGCTTGCCTGCAGAATGGAGGATGGCGCTTCTACACCCAGGGGCATCAGTTTTAAACTACCGTTAATTTCAATAATTTTGTTTGGCTGAAGTGTTTCTCTTCCTTTCCAATTTAAAAATCTCTGCTCGTAAGTGATTACATAGAGACCACTGGTATGGCCCTTACTCCTACATCTGTTGGAAGCAGGGAAGTTGGGGGAAGAATTCTTAATCCAAAAGGGGAGGCTCATCTCCTTTGCCAGGTGATCACTACTGAGGCTTTGTTGCCAACAACAAACAGCTGAACCTGCTAGCTCGGAGCGCTCTCCCCCCAGAACAGATTTTAATCACCTGCTGTGTACATTTTGATTCTTTGTTTCCCCAAGAGAACTTATTATCCACATCTTTTCCATTGGGGCGCTCAAGTCCTAGACATTTTGTAATCAAGTCTCCTCTCTTAACTATAGACTAACTTGGTGAAACCAGTAGCACCAGTAGTCAAATTCCACTAACTTGGTGGAACCAGTAGCACAGTAGTCCCAATTTTCTGTTAATTCCCAGAATATGATGCTGTGTGCTTCAGAGGTCATTTCTTGTGCAATTCCCCTCCAGAAAAGAACTTGGATAATTGTGTTACAGGTGTTAACAACTGGGTTATTTACTATTAAAATTTAAATACATTATAACAAATCCACCCCATCACTGTATGTATGCCTGTATATGATCTAGAGCAGAGGTGGGCAAGATGGCGGATCCAGACGGCAGCCAGACTCCATTTCCTAGCAGCCCCTGCCTGCATCACTGCAGATGGTTTCCATGGAGACCCCAGTAGCAGCAGGGCCCTGACAGTGTGGTGCTAGGGTGTCCATGGAGACCAGCCCCAGCAGTGCTGGCAGGGTGGGTGGCTGGGCAGGGAGCTACTCTGGGGCTGAGGCTGGGATCTTGTAGCAGTGACAGCATGGTCCACAGCCAGAGCAGAACTGCAATCTGCCTGTGTTTGAGTAGCGGATCACAGCTCTGCCCCAGCTCCAGACCATCACTGCCAAAAGGTCCCGGCCCTGGTCCAGCTCCTTGCCCTGCTGCATGCCCTCCCAGCACTGCTGGGGCTAGTCTCCATGGAAACCCTGGCCCCACTGCTTCTGGGGTCTCCATGAAAACTGGCTGCAGCATTGTGAGCAGGGGCCGCTGGGAAATGGAGTCTGCCACAGGCCTGATCTGGCTGGCGGGCCAGATTCTGACCACCTCTAATCTAGAGATCAGATGCATCAGAGTTCATGGGTCAGAACTTAAACACGAAGAAATGTCTTTTTGCTAAATACATGGGAAAACTTTCAGCCCTGGTGATCTAGAATAGCAGTGCTCAAGCTCCAGCCCATGGGTCAAATTGGTCCCATGGGGCTGTTACGTGGCCCATGGAGTTACCACAAGTCCAGAAATTTGGCAGCAGGGGAGCAATGGCAGGGTTATTAGCTGGCTCGGTGCACAGGGTTGTTCTGCATGTGGGGTTGTACCCATGGACTGATCCAGCTCGCAGACCTGCACTATTCATCTGGCTTAGCAGGCTGGAAGATTGAACATCACTAATACAGAATCTGGAATCTGACTGGCCCCATTTCTATGTGGGATTAGAAACACCCATGTGCAGAGCTACTCAAGATTTTCACAGAGGTAAAGAAAAACTGAGTGAGGCCAGAGACATAATCATTTCAGCTCAGGTGCAGTTCTTGAAAGACCAGTTGATGTGAAATGCCACCTTTCCATGTTAGGTGAGCTGATAGTGCTCCTCTTTTTTCTGAGATGAAATTATTCTACTTCACCGTCTAACCTCTCACCTGCTTGTTAGGTTTGTCCATTGTCTCCACAAACTTCAGAGAGCTCACGGAAGCAGATCGGATGGTGTCTGTCCGGCCCAGATGGAACATCCTCAGTGAAGCACTCTCGTACGTAGCACAGGGCTGCCCATACATTCTGAAAGGGGAGAGAAGCTGTCACAGGGCTGAGCTGTGACTTATCTTTGCAGTCAATTCTCCATCCAAAATGTGCAGGCAGATCTGCATTTCTTATTGGCATCCTTGCCTCTTGGGAGTGCAAATTCCAAATAGAAAGGATGAGAAAGGTGAGAAGAATTCAGAATTACAAGGACGTAGCTCCATCCCCATTAAACCCATTACATTTCCCTGCTGGTGTTTCATACTTAACTCGTATATGGGCAATTCTTGCCCGCCCCTTTTTGGCAATGAAGCGCACTCTGCTGCATCTAGTTCCAGAGGGAAAAGGGAGCAGCTGGGAAACCTCCACACAGGCCTAGATCCACTAGCCACACTGACCTCAGTACCTGCTATATCAGGGGTGGGCAATTATTTTGGGTGGAGGGCTGCTTACTGAGTTTTGCAAGCCATTGAGGGCTGCATGGCAGGCAGCCAGGAGCAGATACACATTAATTTTCTAAATTTTTTAGGGGTCCTGCAGGCCAGATAGAATGGCCTGGTGGGCCGTGGGCCGCATTTTGCCCACCCCTGTGTTATATAGAGGCACAGGGGGAAATAGGGGCTACTGTAGTGGGTAGGCATCTTGCAGCCCATGATAACTGAGGGCCTTTCTCCAAATCTATTTGGTGTCTAGTCTGCTTCATAAAACTGCTGACTTATGGTACAGTGAGGCTCTCTAAACTGGAAGTAGGAAGCTTACCTGCTTGCGTTCTACTGCTTACCTATAATAAGCCAGCTGCAGTGCCATCTGGATAAAAGCATCTGGACTTAACTTCTCGGACTTGGGGAAATTCTTCCCAAAGTAGTGAAAGACTGTCACCTTGATGTCCAAATCTTGCACCATTCTGCAGAGAGATGAGAGATTCCTTAGGGTCCTACTTGCAGTTGTCATGCAGGATCACAGAACCCAGGCTTTCGTGAGTCCCAGAGACTGCAATCCACACACACCTGTGTAAGGGGAGTAGGCTCTGTCATACCTGAACTTTGTATAGTGAACTCAACCTCAGTAACTAGACACTGCCCATGGAGAGCATTGTATAAACAAAGGATCTTTGTTACTGTTAGAGATATGGTCCAGCCTAGATTGGCCCATGGCTTTACTAGATCAAGCAGATTGAGTCTGTGACCAGGAATCCACTCTGAAAGTAGATTTGGATGGGTAAGCCATAAGCAACTTTTGATCTTTGGCAAGGAGGAGTCTCATGAACATACTTTTCAGCCATGCTCAACGTAGCTTATGCCCAATTTGACACTCGGAAAGCTTCCTGAAAGGTGATGCCATCCTTACATTTTCCTTCTACTTTGCTCTCCAAGCAGACACATGGGTTATTCCCTTCTTCACTGGAGATCCCCCCCACCAGACGCTTCCTGCTTTACTCACATATTGAGGTTCTGCTTTGCTTTCTCTATGTCATTCTTGATTTCTGGAGTGATATTAAACCTCAGTTTCTTAGGCATTTGCAGAGGAATCATGGGCGATCTCACCAGCTGTGGTTTCTTCCTGAACAGAGAAATGGGTTTGAAGCCATTTTAGTCAGACTTCTGATGGAGACATGCCTATTGCAGTGATTGTGCTATGAACACCTGGAGAGGCTATCCCCCGTTCCCCACCTATAACACTGTCATGTGCTGCAAAAGCTGGTGTCATAAATTTTGGTTTCTCCAAATGTGCCTCTGCAGAGAAACAAATACAGGCACTAGAGGCACAACAGGTCTTGTCTAGATTATAGCTCTAATGTCATTTATAACCTTTAAAGAAATATGTTCTCTGTTCAAAATTATCTGTTCTGTGATGAGGGTTAATCCTTGGTCATTTCTACAAGTGCTGAGGCAGCAAACTCGGGCTATCCTTAAAGTTCCTCCAAAGAAGCTCCCAGGGGGCTGAGCTGGTGAAAGGAGAGCATTACTACAGACAGATGGCATGAAATCTATCTCCAGCTTAGGGACAAAAAAGCCAGCCTCACGTGTACTCCACAACGTGATCCAGAAGCGTAACAATGGGTGGGCCCTCTGAGGGAGCATGCTCGTACACCAAGCCACAGGAACCATCTTCAGCAATGATAAACTGCAAAGAATATGAGAGAGAGAGAAAACAGTAAAGAAATGTCTCATATATGTAACAAGGGGCAGCTTTAAAGATGTCTTGACACCCCTCTGGTGCGTGCTGGAGAAGGCTACATTTCCATCACTGCATAGAAATGCTGGAACATGCCATGGTATTTCCTGGACTCCACAAGACAGAGCAGAGGAGCAAAACTGTAGGTGGGCTACGAGGATTTGGCTTCATCGTGCTGGTTTTGTTGAATGACTGGCAAAAGATACAACTGAGAGACCAGCACCGTGGCAACAAGAAGTGGGCTGATAGTATGATTTTTTGGAGGTTCGCTTTATCCCCTCTGTCCTGAGAAGACTTACTTCAGTTACTTGCAAAGGGGGGACAGTGGGGCATTGTTCCATACACCAGGTTGACCAGGGAAATGCCAGGTAATCTAATTATGATGGCAGTGATGGGACAGTCCTTTTACATGACTGATTCTGTCCGCCTCCAGACCAGGACACAGCCTTCAGGTGGAGGAAACTGGGTCTTGAATGGCAGCTACTACTTGAAGGCATTTCAGCTGCATTTCAGAGCTGAAAGGAGAGTGGATCATAGAGACGTTGCAGGGTGCCAGCCAATGCCTGAAAGAAGCAGGGGAGTTTCTGGCAGAGACAACGAGGGCGAGTGACTGGCCCGTAGGAAATACAAGGAACAGACCTCATTAGGTTTGGGCAGCATCCAAATGGACACTATTCATCACAGGCAAGCAACGTATGAGCAGCACAAAGAATAGCTACAATCAGGACTGCACTGACCAAGTGTGGGCAGGAACGCGAGAACAATAAGAAGTCATGGGGGCTGACAAAGGAGTGAGGACTTGTTTGTGGGAGACCTCCAAACACTGCAGAGCAGCTCCACAGAACCTAACGAGTTTCATGCAATCAACATCAATTCCCTGTATCATTTCCCCACACCTCTTTGATCTGGGAAGATCTATTAAATAGTTCTGAAACCTACTGAAACTTCCAGTTCAGAGTCTGTCTCCCTCAGACCTGCCAGCTCTAATTTCTCAGTGCCACCAGCTCCCACCTGAAGGGTTTTGTCGAACCATCGATTCCCGCTGTTCCAGCGGCTGCCTCCACCGTGCAGCATCTGAGCAGCCACACGGCTCTTGTAGATGTCCTCAGAGGCCCGGGGCATGGGTGCATCCAGGCAGACAATGAAAATGCTCTTCTCGATTGAACGCACAGATTCCTTGTTGGTCTTGTCTGGGAAGGGAAGCGAGTGGAAAATCATGGAAGGGGGTTAGAAAAACTGCATTGACTTTGAGGAAGTCAAGATTTAGGGGAGCAGACTGATAGCACTTGGTGATACCTTTATCCTGAAGTGCGTGTTGGCCACAGCATGGTAGTGTCCAGTTGTTAAAGGCATTGACTGTCTGGCTATTTCAGATTGGAGGCTGTTACCCTCAGAGGGATTCTGCCCCCCTCATTTGCATCAAGCCCCTGATTTTTTGGTTTCAGCTTGGCTGCTTTTTCACCCGTTTGGGGAGTGAGATGTTCCAGGATTTCAGCTCTGTTCTGCACCAAACCTCAAAGATGTATGTATGCTCAAAACAGTAACAAACATTTTTGGCAGCAGGTCTAACTTGGCCATAATCCAACTAGATAAATAAATCTCTCTTGTGCTCCTTAGATGGTTAGAAAGCCCACTGATTTGGGCAGTGTGCGCTTACAAAAGGCTTGCAAGGAAAGGGAGACCCAAAGAACACAGCACTGCATGGAGGGTGGATGTTTCCACCAGTCTTGCTGTTTTGTTGGCAGTGTGCCTGGGGGAGGTGGAACAGACCTTTGATGAGGTTGTTGTAGGCCTTGGCCCAGCTGTTTCGGTGGTTGGTGGTGAGGATCCCGATGGGCTCTTTGTTTGTTTGGAGGGAGGTGTTCCAGATCTTCTCCAGCTGGATGAAGATCTGATCAGCGACGAGGGGGCTCCCATCACTACTATAAACAGCCAGCTCAAAGAACTGAGGATGGGAAGGAGGAAGAATGAGGAGAGACAATGAAAGAGGACTTAATCAGCCTGGATGACAGTAGACATTCCTGGATGGCAAGAGCAAAACCTGATAGCTCAACTAAGGGGCTGATGTCCAGAGCGGGCTGAGGGAGGGTAGCACAGCGAGGTGCTAGTCTGGGTGTTTGGAAGCCCAAGGTTCAAGTCCTAGCACAGCCGTGTTGCAAAGATAAATGCATTGAAGACCAGGTGCTCAGAAATTGTGGTAACAAGGCCCAGGTTAGTAAAATAGAGAATGACTTCTGACACCTTCTACGTTCTACTATTTCTGAGACCTGATCATGGCTGTTGGATCCATGCCAAAGGAGACATTTAAACTGAAGTGAATCATTTGAGCAACTGTGGAATCCCAAACTGCCAAGCACCCGCTATACCTGGAAGTTGTGAACCACGGTGATGTGTGGGGACCACTTTTTCCCTTTGGCATAGTTCACAATGGAGTCATGCTTCGGTCCTGGGATTCGACAGGAAGAGAAGATCTGATAGTACTGGTTCATGCAGAGGGGCTTCCCACCCAGGTACTCCACAGGCAGGGTCTCTCTGGACAGTGAGAGAGAAGAAAGGGAGCGACGTGAGAGGGAAAGAAAACAGCGATGATTGCACACGCAGACACACGGCTCTCCACCATCTCCATTCCAGTAAGGCACTAAGATCTGGATGAAGACACTGCATACTGGCTGGGGGAAGCCCAGACCTTCAATCTTTCTCTAAACAAAGCCTGTGTCAAAGCCTCACCTCAGAAGCTCCAAGACCAAAGATGATCCTCTCCAGAGAACATCCTTTCAGACTGGTAATTAGGTATAAAGTGAGGCAAGTCTACAAGGCCATTAGGCCCTGCACGCATACAAGCCTCACATAGAAGGCAATATGATTGTTTTTATGGCACCTGCAGGTGTGGAAACCTGCACACAACATGATTCCATGAGACCCGAGAAGTAGAAATGGAGCAGGCTCACTTCACCATTCAGCTGAGTGAAAAGCAGGAGTAAAACAGCATAAAAAGCAAAAAGCATAAAACACATCTGCTCTTCCAGTCCTTTTGGGGTCAGTGACCCCAGCTGTTGCCAGTAGCACTGATTCGCAGCTGCTTTTACAATACGTGGATTTCTGTCCTTGAGTTTGCTTTAAGAGAGCAGTTTTTGAACTGAACGTGCTCTCACAAATGCCCAACAGAAGGTTGGAAAGGAAGGAGCAGTCGGCATGTCAGAAATGCATTTCACTCACTTGTCAATCATGGTCTTGAAATCCAGGACACCCTCAATCAGCTTGGCAGCAAACCTGGAAAAGGCAAGTGTGATGATTAGATGATCACACAGGACATTTGGGATTCCTGGGGCAAAGGAGCAAGTTATTTTGCAACACCCTGAGCCCTGGCTGGTGGAGCTATCACCCTGCGCTATGGTGGGAGGTAGTTGGGTAGCTCTGGTGTCTGTCCCAATGCAGCTGCTCTTTCCACAAAGAGGGTGGTTTGGATAAGCTGTATGATAGTAACTCAAATGGCAACATGTTAAACATGTTCTGGTTTTGTTGCATTCATAAAGCTTATTATTAGCTACAACGGTGCTAGGGGACTCCCTGTGCTTGGGGTGGTACAGGCATGCAAGACAATCCCTGGCCAAGAGCCTGTAATGGAATAGCCCAGGAAAGGAGCTAGAGAAAGGACACAACTTGTCTGGGGCTCGCACCAAAGTTTCCCATTAAGAACCTGGGTAGCTGAACCTGATATTAATGGAAGTGTTAGGCACATCTAAGCAAGAGACCATCTTGGGTGTGCTGTGCCACTGGATGTTTGAAAGCCCAGAAGAAATATTTGCAAGAACAAGCTAACGGAGAGGATTTATTTTAAACCGTCAAAATCTGTGTTCCTGGGGGCATTCACAACAGAAACTGCAAGGGCCAGAGAAAGCAAAACTGGCAAGTCAGTCAGCCTGGCTTTGCTTTCAAAATAGAGACATGCAGAGTATGCACAGCATGACAAACTTCATTTTTTTTTTTTTTAAAGCCTTCCATATTTCCTAACCTTAGCATTCAAAATTCATGAGTGAGACTTTCTTTTCCACCTAGATCATTACATTAAATTAAAGAAGTAGTGTTTTATTTGCTTTCTGGCACAAATAAAATTCAACCTTTAATATTATGCTTGGCCGTATGAGTTTCTCTCTGCAACCAGGAACACTAGAAACCTTTTAAGAGTCTCATGTAACCTCCTGACTGCAAGCAACGGAGGCATTTATTAAAACAGTGTATTGTGTAAGCCAGCAACAAGCTGCTCAGTTTTAGTTTTAATAACTTTAGGAGTTAATAATATAAGCAAGGATTTGATTTATTTTAAATAGGATTGTGAACCCCACCCTGCCTCTTTAAGACTCCCTCCCCACCCTCTGCTTCTCAATGCTACTGTCAGATGAGGCCCAGCGAGCATAAGGCTGTGCACAAAGAAGGAGGATTCTTTCACTCTGGTTTCATCCTCGCTCCTCTGGTTGGCTGGTATTTTTAATTCAGGCAGAAAGCCGGAGCAAGTGACGCTGGGTAACTGTGGAAAAGGTTGTCCTGTACAAAGGTCAAAGCTGCTGTTTTGTATGCACAGTTCAGGATGTGATGGGCCTGGCCTTCCACAAAGCTCAGATGTGCAAGCACAGCTAAAGAAGAGGGGGAGAAGGGAAATAAAATCAGGGGCAGGCTCAGATGAGAGCGAGAGAATCAGTTCCGTGGGCAGGATGGTCTTGAAGGACAGAATCTGCACTGGTGATAAGCAGAAGGGAGATAAGCCAGCAGCGTTTAACTGCAGGTAGGGCCTGGGGAGCAGCGCTGGTGACAGACCGTGCTGCCGCATGCTAGATCTGCACAAGTAGCGACAGAATCGTGGGAAGTCCTCTGCAAACACAGATGTACAGCACACACAGCACTGCCAGTCAGCCAAGGTGTGCAGCAGTCTGGCTCCTCCGCTGGCCAGCAGAATCAAAAGACAAACAGGTTCCTGACTATTGTAGGTGTGTGCCATAGCTCTTATCACCATTCTGAGCACCTCCTCACCTTTAATGTGTCTATCCTCTCCACCCCCTATTGTTCCTTTTTTGTATACAGGAAACCAAAGTGCAGTGACGTTCAGTGATTTGCCTAAGGTCATAAAGAAAGTCTGTGGCAGAGCAGGGGAACTGACCCTAGATCTTGAGCCCCAGGTTAGTATCTGAACCACTGGACCATCTTTTCTAGTTTCCCCCTTGGGAGGCCAAGGGAGGGGGGGGAAAATCCTGCTGCAACTCTACTAGCTGTGAACCACCCCATAGCCAGCAGCCATCCAGCCTGGGAAAAACAGCTCAGTGTTTCCCTCTCCCAACCAATCCCCAAAACAACATGTGAAACTTTGGGGAAGAAAGCCGACAGCCAGGAAGGCCATTACCTGAGCTGGCCTTGCCGATCCAGGAACTCCTGTTTAGGTAAGACCACACCAGGGCTGGAGTGAACCACGACCGGCAGGCGGTATTCGAGGTAAGCGTTTTTCAGCCACCATTCGGAGAGCTGGGACCGACAGGAAGGATGTGAGAATGGGGCCCCACATTTGGTTGGCTTGCACCTCATAAAATATCTGGAAGATCATCCTACAACTCACACTACCCCACATTGCTTTGCAAGTGGAGAAGACGGGGGATTGCAGTGAATTTTCTGGTACTTTGTTGTTTGTAGGCTGGGCAGAGCAGGGGGCTTGTGAAACCCGGCCTCCAGGACTGGTGCTTTGTGGATGGGGGTGGAAGGAAGGGTTTCCCCCAACACTGCGGGATAGCTGTGCCATTTGAATGGAGCAGACCATACTGCAGCAGCCAGTAGTCAGGCCGCCTTGTTCTGCTGCATGGGGTTTGGGCAGCTGAGGTGAGTCTGAGGGCACACAGCTGAAGGAGGAGCGAGTAGCAACCAGTGGTGTGCTAGGTCTCAGCACACAATATAGCTGACCAGAGCAGTGATGGCCTGAAAGTCATGAGGACTCTGCTTAGATTTGCCTCAGTCCTCTGAGCTCAGGGCTCCCTCACATACCCAGTTCTCAGTTTTCCTGGCTCTCCTCTGCAGGCCCTGCTGCAGTCTTTCCCCGATGCCACCTGATTTCCGGAATTCATCCACGAGCCCTTTTGTGTGGTTCAATTCCTCCTCGCTGACAATGGGCTGCAGAGCCAGCAGGTAGCGATCCAGGGTTTGCTGAAGAGCTGGCACCGGCAGACGTGGCAACCCCTCCTGGTGGGCTAAGTATCTACCTGGGAGCTTGCCCAAAGCCACTGGCTTCACTAAGCCACATGGCTTGGCCTGGAAATCACAGAACACATGTCTTGACAAGCTTCATCTTGGTGCATGAGGGAGAAGCAGCTCACATTCATGGCACCCTCCCCATCCCCCGTAACACATGGAAATCTAAATTAAAAAAAGATGAGACTGATTAACACACAAACTAGCCGTCTATCCAGTTTCCCAGATTGGGATGATCATGCAATATCCAGAAGCAAAGCAAAAGAACTCGACCTCCTCCAGGGACATCTGTTCTCAGTCAGTTAAAGGAAATGCTGCTGGATTAATAATACATCAATCTTCCTAGCATCTTCCAGCCGTGGGTCTCCCAGCACTCAACATTAATGGGACTCAGCCTCAAAACCCTCCCACCTCTCTCCCCCCTCACCCAGTGGAAGGCAGGCAAGAAAAAGAAACCTGGTGGGACTAGATCACCCCCTTCTGAAATGCAGGAGCCAGCCATGCTGCCCTAGTAGTTTAGGACAGGAAGTGAAAATGAATCCTGCAGCAAATTAAGCTGCACACAGGAATTTGGGGAGGCAGAAAAGAGCTAGAAAATTTAGAATTGGAACATTAACTCCTTCCCAGCCAGCAGGGATGCAAAAACTAGAGTAATCGTGGAAAGCTTTGTTGGAGCTGGTTCTGGGGAGGAGGTGCACTGCTCTGCTTTAGGACAGGCATGAACAGCCCAGTTGGAAGCTGCAATGTAGGTGCTTGGCTGCAAGTGGGAGAAGTCCATAAAGGGAGGTGATGCACTGATTCATTAGGGACAGAATAGGGCAAAATTGAGAAAAGCCTTAACAGCAGGTGTGGGAACAATTTAATCAGGTAGAGAAACAGATTGTAAAGAGACCAGAGAGAGCAGCAGAGCAATGTCAGCCTCTGGTCTGGACAGGCACTTTCTAACCCTTCTCTGGAAACTAGAGGCATCATTTTTGGCAGGAATTGAGGGGCACAGCGAACATTTACAGTGTGCTTACATGCCCTCTGCTCCCCATTCCTTTCCCACTTGTTGGGCTCAGCAGGCAAAGATTCCTGCTAAGAACTTCAGACTATGGAAGAGGGAAACTGCCAGCTGGAAGGTGCCTGTGGGACTCAGACAGTTGAAGGAGGGTTTTTTCCAAAGGTCATGTGCAGAAAAACAAGGTGGGATCCTGCAAGGGTGTGCAATCTTACAGGATCCAGTAGTTTGAAGGGGGAAATCAGGATTTTGTGGGAAGGTTAAAAAAAAAAAAAAAAAAAGACAGAAAGGTAGGAAAAATAATCACTGAAGCTTGATAAAAAAGATGGGCATTGAAAAGGCAAGAAGGGATCAATTTTGAGGGTACCTACCTTCCTTGGCAGCTGATTCCTATCCATCGCTGGAAGAAGGAAAACCCTGTAAGCCTCTCTGTCTCTGCCTCAGGCTTCCTCTCTAATCTTACCCTGTTCTAGCACACACATGGAGTTGTATACTTTAGCAACCTTTGCTCTCTGACTGCTCTATTCTGTCAAGAAAACACAAGACCATACATTGTAGTTGCAGAGGTGCCAAGCCACCCCCCAGCCAGTATTAGTATTGTCTGGCATGTCTCCAACCCCTCCGTGGCTGCCAGAACTCCCAGGTCCTTTACTCCATCACCTGCAATCAGAGAGTTTTGCTCTTCACTGCAGGGTTGGTGCTAGACTGATGCTCCCAGAGGCAGAAGAGATTTGTCTATGCACAAGAAAGCACACACCATGGGTAGTGGGCAGCAGCACAAGCCTCTTCATAAAAA